TTACTATATGGGGGATGAATTGCTATGGGGGATGAATTACTATATGGGGGATGAATTACTATATGGGGGATGAATTACTATTTGGGGGATGAATTACTATTTGGGGGATGAATTACTATATGGGGGATGAATTGCTATGGGGGGGTGAATTGCTATATGGGGGATTAATTACTATGGGGGATGAATTACTATGGGGGATGAATTACTATATGGGGGATGAATTACTATATGGGGGATGAATTACTATGGGGGATGAATTACTATATGGGGGATGAATTACTATGGGGGATGAATTACTAAATGGGGGATGAATTACTATGGGGGATGAATTACTATATGGGAGATGTATTTTCAGTTTTAAAAATGTGGTTCTCAAAATAAATTTCAATCGTGGTTTTGGCGAGATTTGGCTCAGTTGAAAAAAAAGGTTGCCCACCACTGTCCTAGTGGAGTATAAACTGTCCATTAAAATAAATAGAGATCACTGCACCCATGCTTAGAAGGCCCTGACTTAACAGTGAAAATGTAAAAGAAGAGGCTGTGTGGTGATGCAAATATGTATATTTCAGTGGATCAGAGACAGGTGATTATATGGCTCTCAAGGGCCGTGGAAGGCAGACATAAGCATATGTGCAGTAAAAGTGCAATTAATTATAACTCCATCCAGGTTAGTTAGGTAGTTTCTGTTAGATAGAGGCTGAGTAGCAGCCTGGGGGTGAGTCAGCCTGGGGAGTGGGGTAGTGAGGTTACCTCAGGACAGGCTGGGTGGTTGTACAGGTCAGAGCTTCTGGAGCCCTCCCACCTTTCCAGAAACTTGTCAACTTTCTGTAACAGGGGAGGAGGAGGGGAGGAAGCCCAGGTCCCTGCATGTTCGAGAGACCCTGGCCAATCCCCTGGCAGGAGGCTAGGTATGGTGACAAGGGCAACCCTCAAGTACAACAGAGTCAGGTGGAAGATGGATTGAGAGAAGACTGGAGTGTGGAGCCTGGGAGGGGGCCCCAGAGAGAGGAGCCTACCTACAGGCGGTGCTGGATGGGAGGATCTCTATTGCTTCAACGTCTCCTTGGGAGGACAGCCTGTTAGCAGGGAAGAAGCCAGCCCAGCGTAAGGCCTGAAGGCAGCCACCAACCCATTAAGCTGACAGGAAAGGACTCTTACACCCCCTGGGCCAGATAAGGGGAGAGGGTGGTTAGGTGCAAGATCCAACTAGCTTCTCATCTGGGACTATACAGACAGACAGCTCTCGGACCCCTTTGCCTAGGGATACCCTCAAGGCAGCAAGATAAAGGAGGGAAATCATCCAGGGTCTTAGGAGGTACACCGAAGGGGCTTTAGTGCTCCTTAAAAAAGAGACTGTTGCTCTCCGCATTTTTGTACATAGTTGGTAAGGAGTTGTCCTCAAGTTCTACAGTTCCTTGGGCATCCCATATACCCCTAAACTCTATCCAAGTTTAACCCCTTAATACAATCACAAAACCAAGCTCAAGAATTGTTTACTGACTCCAGGGTGCAAAGTGTGGAAAATGTGTGTTGCATGGCTGTGCAGAGCATAGATGGACCCAAGTCAAATCCAGCGGCCCCTGAGGGGGTAGTGCTATATAATCTTAAAGTAGAAATAAACACTCTCAGTCAACAGAAACTATTTTTAATCCTTATGCTGCTAGCATTTGTAAATAGATAGGAAGGTATATTATATTTACTTGTTTTAACTTTTTTTTATTTTACATAAGCCTAAGCCAAAATTATGTCATACATCCCAGGAGTCTTCATGGGCATTTTTTTTCTCTTTCATCAGGAGGATGGGAGGAGAGGCTTTCTCAGCTAGGTACAGCCTCCTGCCTGCATGCCTGAACCAAAGGCAGATGGATTCCAGGAAGTAAATGCTATATGAATTATCTGCCCTTACTCAAGATGGCCGTGGGTAAAAATGGTAAGGGGTGTTTTTCAACAAATAAAAGCATGGAGACATGGATGGATGGGTGAGTTTACTTTAAATATTTAAAATGAATTAAATAGCATTTTCGGTTTGTGGTGCTGAGATACAGTTTTAACCAGTTCCTGTATACTTAACTCCCTCAACACCAAACCTTTTTCAGTCAAATTATTGTGCCAGGGGTGTGAATACAACTTTAATGCATTTAAATGGTAATTATGCTATGTTGATTAAATGATAAAAATCTCAAATAAATTTGTATTAATTTCTGGTTGTAAGATTACAAAATGTATGTATGTAAGGGAATGGTCTTTAAAAGTCGGTGTATAATTAATTTAGAGCGGAGATTTTATTTTTCTACTGTTCCTTATGCTAAGCTCTAAACATCAAGATGTACTTGTCAAACAGAGTACATTTAGTATGAAATGTTACAGTGCCAGGGACTGACAGGCTGAATGAAAGGGAACCAGCGGTAAAATTACGGTAGCATGAAAATACTGCTTTATTTGCCAGCCTGAATGCTCCCTGCTTTCAAAAAGCTATGTGCTCCTTGACTTGTCTGTGGCTAAGTTGCTCAATGTTCCTCCCACTCTCTCAATTCTCACAGTAAGTAGTAATGACTGCATGACACAATTCCAGTTCCTACTCTTCCAGTAAAGACCTACAGGTGGGAATAGGTTTTCAGAAATATACATTTCTTAATTTTTTAAGGACAATACATCTAGGCTGCTAAAAATAACAAATTAGCTACAGTATGAAAGGCCTTTTCTCTACACATACGTAGGGTGCTGAAGTGTCAGCTGAAGGTCAATTGTGTTTTTATTGGATGAAAAGTTTTATGAACATGTTCTTCTGTTACTAAAACTGAAAATGCAGACCGATCAGAACTGATGAATAATTGTTTCATCTCGTGTCAGAACATGAAAAACTTGCAAGAAGGGAGTGAAGACATTTTAAAAACATAGAAAAAAAACTCATTACTCATGAACCATGCAGGGCAATGTAACAGGTTTACTTAAAGTGATACTAAACACACACTGTTTAATTTACATTGTCCCTTATATTTCTGTATATGGATGATGGCACTGTAAATATTTGAATTAAAAAAATCTAAGTACCTTTTTCCTAATTAATATATAGCTGTCACATGACCCAGCTCTTTCCCAGCCTGTCAGCAGGGAAACAGTGGCAGGAGAAGCTTATAGCCCTTCCGCTGGTCACATGTTCAAAATAAAAAAAAAATCAGCCTTTGGAATACAGAGTAAAAATAAATACATAATATCAATAAACTGTTTTGAATTGTCATACAAATATATATTTGAAATACATTCTTTATTATTTTGTGTAAATAACATGGTGTGGGTGGATTGCTGCCAGTCACAGGCTGTGTCATGCCCCTTTAGCCTGTGTCTTAGAATAAGAGGTGTGACAGACCCAACCAGGACAGAGGCTTTTGGCACCAAATGTGACAGGCCACCTGTCACCCTGATTGAGAGAACTGCTTCCTCACTGCTGGGGCACAGGACCAAGGTATTATAGCTGGGCATCACACCCAAGACTAATCGACACTAGCTTAGGTGCAAAAACTGGAACTACTTTATTGAACAGAAATACAGGTTTTTATACACTTCAGAAATAGGGGCAGTCCCCACATGAACAATAAAAACAAATATTACACATTGGGATAAACATCCCACGCTGATTAGGTAAAAGCTTGATCACATTATCCTAAACATTGCAAATGGTAAACAGTACAGCCAACAGATGATAGTGATCCAATTTACAATAAACAACAGCTAGCAACTAACATGTAATAGTGATCTAATTAACTGTTAGCCAGTCAATAGCCAAGCACCCAGACAAGCCAGGGAGCCTAACCCAGACAGCCCGGCACCTTCAACCCTGAATATACAAAGTCCATTACACATGTTGTCTTTCAGGTGTTTGCTTTCAATTGTATAACCTATCCATCATAAGACAAAACTAGTACAATATTCCAGCCTGAAAAAGTGGAATTCATCTTTCTCCATAAATTTCTTGAGGGAGATTGTATATAAATATTTCTGTCCCAGGTGGAGGAAGTTCTCCAACCCAGTCTGCAGTGGGGGCCCCATATTTCCTCTGACCATTAACTTGTATATGATTAATATTACACCTTTCCATCCACTCCAGAAGGGAAGTTGAATTGTATTTACTCTGAGAATTAATCCAAGCCTCGCTCTCAGCGTTCATCACTTTGTTGTTGATCATTAGAGAATGATCTGCTCTCTCCATGGACCTTAATCAGTGGGTAGAAGGCTAGCCCCTAGTCCCCTCCAAAAGCCCCTGTCCTGGTTGTGTCTGTCACAAGAGGGAGGTGATTCCTCCATCAATCTACATGTCATATCCCACCCCCATTGTGTTTAGCTGGTTAGTGGGCATGGAGGAGGGGGAGGAGTGAGCAGTCATTTACCACTGTGCATATGCCCACATGTGTGACTCTATAGTCACATGGATTGCTCAGATGTGATAAGGAGGTAATGCTCAGCATAGAAATGCACTGAAAACTGAGGATGTGCAGAGTTGCCACTACAGTTGCAAAATCCCTAGCTGAATTGGGGACATGAACAGAAGGTGGAGATAGAGAGCAGCAGGATCAAGCAGGTTTCTTGCAGAATACAGAAAACAATTCTCATAGTGACCAATTGAGTATGAACAGCATGTAATACAGTATTTATTGCTATTTTTTTTTATAATGTGGGTTTAGTGACACTTTAAAGGCAACCTTCCTCTTCAAATACTCTATTTTCTAATTCCCCCTGCCACTGCATTCAATCTTCAGGAGGTAAGAATAATATCCAGTACGTCTGGGTATGGGAGGCATGTGACTTCCTTTTTTCCTCTTATGGGACAGTGCTGGTGCTTGATTTGCTGCTTTGTCAAGTGGGGGGCAGGGAGAGACTCCTCAATCATGAATGGAGCTTGCACAGTCCATGCTCTCTTCTTTCCTCAATGCTGAAAAGAGCAGTATGGGAATGAAAAGAAAGTAGGAATATGACACTCGTGAAACAACAGTTAAAGTTTAGATAAAATAAAATAAAAAAAATCAGTGCAAAGGACGGTATTTAGATTTATTACGAAGTGTCCCTCGTGCTGTTGCCGGCTGTTATAGTTGAAAGCTGAAGTCTTCTGCCACTCCCTTTCCCCATATCCTGCAGCCATAATCTTTTAGTGCTCTGGGGGTTAATGTGTATGTTGGACTTATGACAGGCACTCATGAAGAGTGCCAATTATGCCCACCTCCCTCCTTTGTTCATAGATGCCGTGCTATAGCTTCCATGAATGAACCATGAATGAAATATGCTCTATGAGTGGAGGAGGTGGGCATCTCAATCATCTACCCATCCTCAGTTCGTAGATCACTTTTCATTGATGGAAGCTATAGTAAAGTTTCAATGATTGGAAGGATGGGGGGGGTTCAGAAAGCGTAGTCTGCATTGTGACAGGTCCAGTGCTCATATTAACCCCCGCTGCTGCAAGGAATGGGGGGAGAGGGGTACAGAGGGATTCGAATTTCAGCTGGCATCAGCACAAAGGACACTGCATTAAATGTAAACACCATGCCTTGGGCTGATTTTTTTTCTTTAAACTTTATCTAAACTTAAGCTTTACAGCGGAACTTAACTCTCTCAATCAAACATTGACTTTTTAAAATCCTTATGCTGCTAGCATTAGTAAATAGATAGGAAAGTAGATTATATTTACTTGTTTTAAACTTTTTTTTTTACATTTCTTTAGTTGCTTCCTGGTGTTTGGCCTAGGCAAATGATGTCATACAGTCAGGTCCATAAATATTGGGACATCGACACAATTCTAACATTTTTGGCTCTATACACCACCACAATGGATTTGAAATGAAACGAACAAGATGTGCTTTAACTGCAGACTTTAATTTGAGGGTATTTACATCCAAATCAGGTGAACGGTGTAGGAATTACAACAGTTTGCATATGTGCCTCCCACTTGTTAAGGGACCAAAAATAATGGGACAGAATAATAATCATAAATCAAACTTTCACTGTTTAATACTTGGTTGCAAATCCTTTACAGTCAATTACAGCCTGAAGTCTGGAACGCATAGACATGACCAGACGCTGGGTTTCATCCCTGGTGATGCTCTGCCAGGCCTCTACTGCAACTGTCTTCAGTTCCTGCTTGTTCTTGGGGCATTTTCCCTTCAGTTTTGTCTTCAGCAAGTTAAAAGCATGCTCAATCGGATTCAGGTCAGGTGATTGACTTGGCCATTGCATAACATTCCACTTCTTTCCCTTAAAAAACTCTTTGGTTGCTTTTGCAGTATGCTTTGGGTCATTGTCCATCTGCACTGTGAAGCGGCGTCCAATGAGTTCTGAAGCATTTGGCTGAATATGAGCAGATAATATTGCCCGAAAACACTTCAGAATTCATCCTGCTGCTTTTGTGAGCAGTCACATCATCAATAAATACAAGAGAACCAGTTCCATTGGCAGCCATACATGCCCACGCCATGACACTACCACCATAATGCTTCACTGATGAGGTGGTATGCTTAGGATCATGAGCAGTTCCTTTCCTTCTCCATACTCTTCTCTTCCCATCACTCTGGTACAAGTTGATCTTGGTCTCATCTGTCCATAGGATGTTGTTCCAGAACTGTGAAGGCTTTTTTAGATGTCGTTTGGCAAACTCTAATCTGGCCTTCCTGTTTTTGAGGCTCACCAATGGTTTACATCTTGTGGTGAACCCTCTGTTTTCACTCTGGTGAAGTCTTCTCTTGATTGTTGACTTTGACACACATACACCTACCTCCTGGAGAGTGTTCTTGATCTGGCCAACTGTTGTGAACGGTGTTTTCTTCACTAGGGAAAGAATTCTTCGGTCATCCACCACAGTTGTTTTCCGTGGTCTTCCGGGTCTTTTGGTGTTGCTGAGCTCACCGGTGTGTTCCTTCTTTTTAAGAATGTTCCAAACAGTTGTTTTGGCCACGCCTAATGTTTTTGCTATCTCTCTGATGGGTTTGTTTTGTTTTTTCAGCCTAATTATGGCTTGCTTCACTGGTAGTGACAGTCTTTGGATCTCATCTTGAGAGTTGACAGCAACAGATTCCAAATGCAAATAGCACACTTGAAATGAACTCTGGACCTTTTATCTGCTCATTGTAATTGGGATAATAAGGGAATAACACACACCTGGCCATGGAACAGCTGAGAAGCCAATTGTCCCATTACTTTTGGTCGCTTAACAAGTGGGAGGCACATATGCAAACTGTTGTAATTCCTACACCGTTCACCTGATTTGGATGTAAATACCCTCAAATTAAAGCTGACAGTCTGCAGTTAAAGCACATCTTGTTTGTTTCATTTCAAATCCATTGTGGTGGTGTATAAAGCCAAAAATGTTAGAATTGTGTCAATGTCACAATATTTATGGACCTGACTGTACATCCAAGGAGTCTTCAGGAGGGGAGGAGGGGTTTTCTAACCTAAGCACACCCTCCTACCTGCATGCCTGAGCTAAGGGCAGATGGATTCCCGGAAGTAAATGCTAAATGAATCATCTGCCCTTTACAAGATGGCCACGGCCAGAAATGCTAATTGGATGCTTTTCAATGTGAATTCTCAGCATAACCAAGCATGGACACATGGATGGATGAGGGAGTTTGCCTTAAAGTGTTATTAAACCCACAACAGTAAAATCAGTCTATATATGCATTAAAGCATGCTTGTTATACTCACTGTGGAAGGGGTTAATCCTCTACATTGTGTAAAAAGGCCATTTGATCCTGACTTCTCTGCCCCTTCTCTTGTTCAGATGTCCACCTGATAAGACAGACTGAAGCCATAGCCACATGTACATGATCAGTTTTGTGTCCAGACAGAGGTCAGGGGTTCTGCATCCTCCTAGAGCAGAAATAAAACTTTTCCTACAAGCTTTAACCAGTGCTCAGCTGAAGTCACAAGTCTGCTCTAACTGCTGATAAGAAAAGGTATTTAGCAGTTTATATTTATTAAAATAATTTCACTTCCATGTTGTCTGTACTGTGGGAGACTGGATATAGAGAATGCAGGGTCCTGGGTTTAGTGACACTCTCAATATTAAAAAGAATTTTAATAGCGCTTTTGGTTTGTGGTGCTCAGGCTCAGTGAAGTTCCCTATATAGACAAAACACGAGTTTACTTTAAGAGTACAAGAAGCTGCTATAATCACCCATAGCAATAAAAAGGGTTGTGGTCATGCAGAATAAAAAAATAACCAATAAATAAATATAAGGAATGCGCTAAATAAATACAAAATAGATGTGAAAAATATATAAAAAAATTATTATAAAAAATGTTCATAAATCATTAAATGTTCAAAAAAAGTCTTCAAATAATGTCCACACTGTGCTGGAGCCACCACCAGAAAAAATTGAATCACTCACCAGAGCTAAATGCTGAACAAATAATTGAACTAGCATCTATTTTGTATTTATTTAGCGCATTCCTTATATTTATTTATTGGTTATTTTTTTATTCTGCATGACCACAACCCTTTTTATTGCTATGGGTGATTATAGCAGCTTCTTCTAAAAAATTAATTTGTGATTTTTTGAAGTGGAATTTGCTGCTTTAGAGATTTAGGGTGTGGCACTTTTCTAAAACACTTTTGTTTTAAAAAAATAACCAGCAAGGACATTTTCTAAGCAAAGGCTTTGTGGCACGAGGTGGAGCCACACAATAAATATTGCTGGTATGGAAAGCTACAGTTGTAAGTGTTTTGTTAGTTCTGTTTAAGTGGCAAAAATGCCTATTGATCCTGCCAACAATTGTGTGAGGTGATGACTTCCTGAGCTCTCAGCTAGCTATGAGTTAGCACTGTTCCCAAATATCTCTGAACTACAAACCTCCCCACCATGTTATATGTTATATTCTAACACAACATTTGTTCTAGGGCAGGGGCGGACTGACCATTTGGAAACTCGGGCACTGCCCGAGGGCCCGGGGTCAGTAGGGGGCCCCATGAGATGCCCCTGGTACCTTTTTCATAGCCTTTTTTGAGTCTGGGCAAGGACACAGGGGCCCCATGATCCCCTATTGCCCTGGGGCCCCATGAGTTGTCAGTCCACCCCTGTCCTAGGGTGACAATGCTCCTTCTCCATCAAAACAGTACAGTGAATGACTGTTCTCAGTAATTTTCTGTCAGGTACACCAGGGAAAAATAATTAAAAAATACTATAGCTGCCACCACAACAAAGGACTGGTAAGCTGCAAAATATCTAATTTTTGTTCCTGGGTTTACATATGCTTTAACAGAGAAGTATGAACATGGACCAGCTGAGTGACATCAGCAGAGAAGTATGAGCATGGACCGGCTGAGTGACATCAGCAGAGAAGCATGAGCATGGACAGGCTGAGTGACGACAGCAGAGAAGTATGAGCATGGACCGGCCGAGTGACATCAGCAGAGAAATATGAGCATGGGCAGGCTGAGTGCCGACAGCAGAGAAGTATGATCATGGACCGGCTGAGTGACGTCAGCAAAGAAGAATGAGCATGGACCGGCGGAGTGACGTCAGCAGAGAAGTATGAGCATGTATAACAATCATGCTGTTATGATCCGCCAGGTGGTGCCTCAGGCTGCCAACTGACAGACCTACCCAGAGCGTGGGGTCTAAGCCCGGGCTGTGCTTTCACCAGGGCCCCTGATGGTGGGGACGGACTTGAAACAGTCCCGGACCAGGTCACGACCTCTGAGCAGGCCCACCAGTGGCTGAGGAGACCTCCGGGGACGTATGCAGGTACCGGAGAGCCAGATGTGAAGCGGATGGCGGCCCCAGCAGGGTAGTAACGGATCGTGGTCCCGTGGGGGTAAGCGAGGTACAGAATCGGCGGGCAAAGAGTAGTCAGGTCACACGCAGGGTCAGCAGGGTAAGTCAGTCCGTAGAATGGTCAGGGCAATCCGGGTCAATCACAGGGGCAGGCAGCATAGTCAGGGTCAAACAGGGTCACTAGACGGGTGCAGGAACTCGGAATCACAGAAAGACCTTGCGGCAATTACTGACAGTGTAGGGCATCTTTAAATAGTGCGCCCTGCACTGTCATTGGCCGCTCAGGACGCGCCCCCGGGCTGTCATTGGCCGCCCGAGGCGCGCCCGCGGCTTCCACTGCGCATGCGCAGCGTCCTGTCATCCCCGGCTCACCAGGACCTGGTGCCTGTGTCCCGGCGTGAGCTGTCGCCAGCGCGCATGCGCCGGCCGACGGGACGCCGCGATCCCTGACACATGCACACAGGGAGAGGCGCGGTACCCATTTTGCTCCAAACTTCTGCATTTTGGTATCTCTCCCCAAAACAAATCAGTCTCCCTCTTCAGATTTCCCCCCTCCCTCAGGAATGCAATCAGTGTATGATACTGAGCCCCTGCCTAACAATCCTTTGCCCAAATAAGGTAATTGGCTTACTGTTGTAAGAAGATACCAGTTGATTTTGTGTAGAAAAGAGGCTGTTATGTTTGGTGTGTAGACAGAGAAGTGAGGATCTTCTGCGTTTTAACATCTAGCAGACAGAGAGAAAGGGGAATCTCGCTGTAACAACGAAACTGAGTGCGAGACCAGAAATCCCTTTTGAGCTCATCAGACTTGAAACTGCTTAACCCCAAGCATCTATTTGGCAAGAACTTATTTACCTAAACTTCTTTCTGTTACCTGTTTTCTGTGCTGTTGTGCTCTGTATATTTATATATATATATTTCGTTACATCTTTCTTCTGTATATATTTCTACTGCACCCTTTTGACCTTTTAGTAATAAATCTTACTTTCTGAAAGTGTTGAACTGTTTCTATAGCCCTTTAATGTGACTTACGAATCCCTGCCGCTGAAGAGCGGTACTATGAGTATTTTACCCTCGGTATAACCTGTCTGTGGAGATAGCGGGATACCGACGATTAACCAATCATCCTAGTGTATTGCTGAGTTTCCTCTTTCTTTATACAAAAAGGAGGTGGTGGCAGTGTGAAGGGTTAATTGCGTAATTAACGTGATCCAGTAACAAACGCTCCCAGGCTGCAGGTATGTCGATTGTGGTCCAATTAGCTGGAAAATCAGTGTGCAGGGTGCAGCTGGGCGTGGTATTGTTACGCACGTGACATCGCGGTGTTAGATTGGCTAGTCCTTCTGTCATGAGTTGTAGAGAAGGTCAGGGGTCTGACGCCGCGATCGTCACAGCATGGACCGGCTGAGTGATGTCAGCAAAGAAGTATGAGCATGGACCGGCTGAGTGACATCAGCAGAGAAGTATGAGCATGGACCGGCTGAGTGACGTCAGCAAAGAAGTATGAGCATGGACCAGCTGAGTGACGTCAGCAGAGAAGTATGAGCATGGACCGGCTGAGTGACGTCAGCAGAGAAGTATGAGCATGGACCGGCTGAGTGACGTCAGCAAAGAAATATGAGCATGGACCGGCTGAGTGACGTCAGCAAAGAAGTATGAGCATGGACCAGCTGAGTGACGTCAGCAGAGAAGTATGAGCATGGACCGGCTGAGTGACGTCAGCAGAGAAATATGAGCATGGACCGGCTGAGTGACGTCAGCAAAGAAGTATGAGCATGGACCGGCTGAGTGACGTCAGCAGAGAAGTATGAGCATGGACCAGCTGAGTGACGTCAGCAGAGAAGTATGAGCATGGACCGGATGAGTGACGTCAGCAAAGAAGTATGAGCATGGACCGGTTGCGTGACGTCAGCCATCAGCTGAGAGCTGCAAACGGGTTACAGGAGTGCAGAATGAACTGCTCTCCTGTGGCCTACAGGAGAAGTAGCAGAGCAATACAAAGCAGCATGTTTCCATAGTAAAGTACACACAGCACACATAGTAAAACAGCACACAGTAAACCCTTTGATCGCCCCAGATTTTAACTGCTTCCTGCCCAGTGTCATTAGTACAGTGTCAGTGCTTTTTATTAGCACCGATCACTGTATTAGTGTCATTGGGATGTCAGTGGCAGTTAGTCCCCCCCCAGTGTCAGAATGCCCGCCGCAGTCCCAAAGTTTTGCTATAAGTCGCTGATTGCTGCCATTACTAGTATAACAAAAATTCCAGTATATATACCACCATTTGTAGACACTATAACTTGTAGGGAAGCACCAATTAATTTACATGTATTGGGATTTTTTTTAGCAAAAATATGTAGCAGAATACATTTTGTCCAAAATTAATGACGAAATTTGATTTTTTAAAATTTTTTACTGGATATGTTTTATAGCAAAAAGTCAAATTTATAGTTTTTTTTTTTTTTTTTTTTAAACTGTCAGTCTTTTTTTTGTATATAGCGCAAAAAATTAAAAATGCAGAGGCGATAAAATACCACCGAAAGAAAACTCTATGTGTGGGAAAAAAAGGACATAAATTAAATTTTGGTGCAGCTTTGCATGACCGCGCAATTGTCAGTTAAAATAACGCAGCACCATATCACAAAAAAAGGTCTAGTCAGGAAGGCGGGTTAATCCTCTGGAGGGCAAGTGGTTAAGGATTAAAAATAATTAATGTTGATTGAGAGAGTTTAGTTCTGCTTTAAAAACAATCAATTTATAACCACCTAACTCCTGCCCCCCTGGACCCTGTTCCCAATTAATTACTGCAGTCACCCTCTATTCTGCACTCTCTAACTCACATCTTCAATCTCTCCATCTCTTCTGGTATCTTCACCATACTTAAAAAGCCTATTTTGGACCAATCTTCAGTTATGAACACAATGAGTGATCGATACCGATCACTCATTGTGTTCATTCAGGAAAGGAAGAAGCCAGTATAAATTATGCATTTACTTGGCCCTTCCCCAGCGCTCCATCTTGAAACATCACCGTGTTCCTGCAGCATCTGGTGGGAGAGGAGAGGAGGGAAACCAACCATGCTGCAGGGAAAGAGGCATACAGCGGGGCCCGGACAGGAAAGGGAAGAGGATGGTGAGTAGGGAGGGTGATCAGTGCGTGGGGGAAGAGGGAATTACAGGAACCATTTTCCTATATGGCTTTCTCTGCAGCAGCTGAAAGTTGGCGGGAGGTAGAGGAGAAGCTGGCTTTCAGCTGATGAAGAAAGAGCAACACAGGGGATTGGTTCCTGTAATAGCCCCCCCCCCCCCCCCCCCATTGAACAGATCACCCTGTCTGCCCACATCCGATTCCCCCTGCTTCCCCGGGCCATATACAGGAGGACTGGTTGTACCCCCTTATCACCAGCCCTACTGCCTTGTGATTGTCCAGTGCTGTTGTGAGATGGGGAAACAGCTCTCATTGTTTGAACACTGTGTGGAAGTAAATTGATGTTTTGACTGACATTCTGCGGTTTAGCCACAAGATGTCACTGTTTTTCCAACACAGGCTCAGACTGCATAGATATTTGTATATTCATGAAGAGGTGGAGTTTTCACACAGAGTTGGAGTTGAGGAAACAGGAAGAGGAGACAGGAGCCATGTTCTGGAGAATGCTGAATGAAGGGGCTGTGTGAGCTGCATCTGGGTGAAGCTGATGAGATTGCTACCAGGAAGCTGATGAGATTGCTACCAGGAAGCTGATGAGATTTCTGCTAGGAAGCTGATGAGAGCAGTGAAACAACGCAGCATACACTGCAATATCGCAGGCCTGTTGGAGAGACATTTGTTCTGTTCAGAGTCACCAGCGTATACAAAGCAGACACGGGTTGGTAAGATCGTGCATGCACCTCATTTCAGTGTTGGCGCCTATAGACTGCGACCAGGCCTATAGTTAATTAGGGTCTCTGTTTGTGTCAGGCCACAAGTGTCGTTACTGATCATTGGAAGGACTCCACAACTTAAAGTGACATTTCACATTGGAGAGCTGATAAAATCCTACAAACTCAAGCCAGACTGGTGTTTTGGTCAGAAGGAATACTCAGGCACGTGTTACAGGACCAGTTATGGGAGAGGGAATACTGTAGATTTGTGTAAGATTGTAAGCTGTTGTGCTGCACCGCAGGCTAGCCCATACCATACACCCATACACTGATTCCTGCTCTTTTAGGGTAATAACAGGTAAGGTGTGGCAGCTTATTTGTGCCCGCCAGTAGGTAAATTACTTCACTTTCTACCTTCATCCATCAGAAGGCGCCGTGCTGTGCAGCACAAGGGTCTCA